TATTATTGTTATTGTTATTATCATTTATTACAATTATTATTATTATTATTGTTATCATTATTCATTACAATTATTATTATTATTATTATCATTGATATTGTCGTTGTTGTTATTATTATCATTAATATTACTACAACCCCAGCAGACCACCCAGACACTCAGAAACATTCTCGGCTTCCTGAGAAGCCTACAGGGGAATAATTTTACAAAAGGGGTTTCCAACATTCCATGATATCAAAAAAACAACTGTGCCAACATTGGGTAAGTAACAGGAACCAGAACAAGATCCCACAACGAAAAAGAAAGAAATAAAAGGAAAGAGACAGTATGTTTTATTTATTTTTTGAGGAAAATTCTGAATGCTTTCTTCAAGAAAAAAAATAAAAAATTATTATGTAAACCGAATTCAATCAATGGTTCGAAAAAAACCAAACACCTTATACAATACATTCCTATACCAGTGTAAAGCTCATGTATTTTGAATGCAAAGTGAAGAGCCTCATCATTACACCACACGCGGTAGGACTTACACTCCTCACTTCTCATGGCAGACTTTAGTTGACTCACACAGAGATTCACAGTGGGTGGTTGGTTGGTGGGTGCTCTGGTGTGGTTTGCTTCTTCTTTCCTACAAACATCTATCATCCTTATCTCCCCTCCTTTTTTTATGTTTGTTGTTACTCTCTTGTAACACCTCTAATCTTCTGGCGCTCATATGACCTTATGCAGTTGCGAGCGCCGTAAAACCTCTACTAAAACTAAAAAAAGAGATCCACACACTAAAAATATTTACCCAGAGGCATATTGTTGTAGAGTTCTTTGTGAGCCTCGTGCAAACTGTTGGCGTTGGTCGATTCAAGTGTCAGCTTGACCTTGTAGTAACTGAAAGAGACGACACAAACAGAACCAAAGTGTAAGCAGAAGTAAGAAAAAAAATCTAGGCAAATGTGAAAGCAATTTCCCGGGACCAGGACTATAGAGATTTATCTTATCTTATAGTGGACTCCGCTTAATCCCAACAAGTTTAATGTGAAAACAGTGGTTAACTGAAAGAAAATCAAATCAATGTTTTCCTTTAACACTTACAGTTCCGAAGGCTCATACTGTGAAAAACCCTTGGGTACTGGACCAGTTTAGAACGATGAAGCCGTGGTAAAATTTTTTTAAATTAGAAAAACCTTGGCAGCCCAGGAAACACACTTTAAAAATTCAGAGAGGTTCATCAACAATTCAACTATCATACATAAAGTCACTTCCTTTGGTATCAGTGCAGTGCATCCATTCATTGTTTGATTATGTTTAGTGTGCCTGGTTGCCAGCGACCGCCAGCGGTAGTGAATGCATACTACAGCCTGGCAACTTAAGTCACCAACTGTACTGTGAGTGTTAAAATTCTTCTATTTGAGCAACCTTTCCAAACTGAAAACCCGGCTAAGCTGAATCTGTCTCCACAAACACTTGTCAAAGTCCCATGGGTGATTGATCGGAACTACATAAAGAGAAATTTCACAGTAACTGATGGGACATTTGGATAAAACTTTCTAACAAGGATAATACAACACTCAAATTCCTAACAAAAATCTCATTTCAACTTTGAAAGATAAGAATATTAGCAAGACATATGTAAAGCGTGATGGCAAAATGAGTTACTCCCCTCGATTAAAGCCTTAAGGAAATAGATATATCACACTCATGGGTGACGTTTTTACCATTTATAAGTATGAAATAATAAAAGTCAGGTTATGGTTAAAGAAAATGGCCTCAATAGAAAATCTACAAATTTGATCCTTATGTCGATTTTTGGCCAATACCTCCATTTCTGGATTGCGAGAAGTAACTCATTTTGTCAGCACACCTCACATATCAATAATCATATTCCATGCAATTATTCGATAAAGATAGTACATTCTGTGACATTTTTAGATTCAGAATTTTATGGGAAAGAAAAAAAAATACCCATTACTTTTTGTAATGTTAGACAAGATGACATGATTTTCTTTAAACTTTCCAAAACAATCTATTTTATAAACTTCTAGATCTACTCTTAAAACGGGTAAGGGGCAATAATCAAGTCAAAGAAGAATTACAACAGAAGTCTTTTAATTTGAGAAAAAAAAAGAAAAAAAAGAACATAAGTTTCACTTCAGTCTTAGTTAACACACAGAAAGAAATAAGGAGGAGAGCTAACAAAATGAAATACCACATCAGAATAGTTGTTGAGATACCTGTTTTTCCCCTGAGCTTCCTCCACTTTAAACAGTTTGTCTGTTTAGTAACCGTGCTTAATGGTGCAGTAGACACACTTCCTATTTTAAGGATAAAAAATTGTCTTTTTTTAAAAAGTTTTTTTTTGCAATTCCACTTCAGACAGGATCCACAGGACTTTATTGATGGCTGTTCGAAAGACTGCCAACAACTGACTGCAAAATAACTGTTGTTGATGAAGCCCACGTGGGACGCTCACTGTTAAAAACAATCAGGAAACGACAAATGCAGTTTTTGGGACACCTGAATAAATAGACATAAGGGCCTTGAACATCTAGCTCTCACTGGCAAAATGGAAGGCAAAGGAGGCAGGGGTAGGCCCAGAGAAACCTACTAAGGGAACCTAAACAAATGGGTAACAGGGAAAGATCAGGGAAATGCAGCTTTTTTAAGAGCATCCGAGCAAAGAAATGAAAGGAGAACCATGATCGCCGATGTCTGTCGCAGATCTGGCACTGGATGATGATGATATTTTGGACAACTTTACCTATTGAGCATGTCAGGATAAGATCCAATTATAACTTCATCCTTGAACTTTTCGGCAACATGGGAAATATATCCGGCTATTGAGGCCTCGTCTTTGCTGACATACAGTTCGTCTGTGTGGAATTCAACATCGGGGTTTTGGAACAGGTACTGTGAGAAAAGAGTAAAATATTCAATAACAATGATAATAATAACAGATCCTAATTTATATAGTTAAGTGTATTTCCACTGGGAGAGCGTAGAAGGTGCTTTTAAATAGAAAAAAAGACATGGACAAAAAACACTTACACTGACTCATCAATGCTATAATACATAAATAATTTATGAAAATGAACTCTCTCTCTCTCTCTCCTCCCTCTATCTCTCTCTCTCTCTTTTTCCCCCTCCCTCCCTCTCTCTCTCTCTTTCTCCCTCCCCCCCCCCTCTCTCTCTCTCCCTCTCCCCCCCTCTCTCTCTCTCTCCCTCTCCCCCCCTCTCTCTCTCTCTCTCTCTCCCTCTCTTTCTCTCTCCCTCTCTCTCTCCCTCAGCAGTCCCTCTATCTCACTGAAGCAGTTCGCCTCCCGACTGATAGAAGTAAAACTATGTTGGAGGGGGCATAAAACATTCACAATTCTTCATCTTTCTACCTATAAGTCCTTGCCCCAAAATCATTAACTTGGGGTAAGAGTTAAGTTCATACCAAATGCTCAAAAGAATATCAGAGGTGCCAACTTGAAATGTAAGAAATAAAATCTGAAACTTTCTTAACCCTGTGGAAATGCACCTCCAGGGTCCAGGGATTCAAAATTTACACATCACATCATCTAATACATCTTGGATCAGGACTGTCTTTGTATATAGTCTGCTTGAAGTTGGGGGAAAAAATGTGAACAATATAAAAAATTCTAATGTCTGGATTTATCCGGAAAATCGGCACGACTGGAATATAAATGTCCACAGTATCTATTGTGAAAAGCCAGAAGAATATCCAGCCAGCTGACAACAGACACGATCAGCAGGCAGACCCTTTCACAGATCCTGGAGAGGAGGGAGGAGCAGTTATGACATTGTACCGCCTGCAATGATGCCTATTCTCCAACCAACCAAGTAAGTAAGTAAGTATGGTGATGTAATGCATCTACACAGCTTAAAGATAACACAAGATAACATGACTGAAAGAAAAAATTAAGTAAGGAACGCTTTTATAAAAATCACTTGGTACATGTACAAGGCAGACTGATGAGAAGGTAGAGACATTCTCTTACAAGTGTTCTGAAACTTTTCATTCCAAGCCACATATGTCAAAAAAGTTCCATTCCCATATGTAGTCGATGTCATATTTAACACTTTGCAGTCACACAGCCAGCTGTACAAAATACCCCATCTGGTCACCCAGCCAGGCGAGCGACTGCAACGGACCTCTCGGGCCTGGCGCATAGTGCGCCAGGTGACTGAAATGGATAATTTTAACCGGTGCATTATTGCGCCAAGTGACTGCAAAGTGTTAATATATCCATCATTCAGCTGACCAACATTTAGTCGATAAAAGCGAAAAACTTTGTTATTTTTGGCACCGGGTCCTTTTTTTTGTTAAAGGTTCCAAGCGTGGTCACTGAATTTTCTAAAAAAGTGCATCATAATGCTAGTTATACCAAAACATTGCTGAAAATTTTCTTTCTCTTATGTGATTCAGACTAAAAGATAGAACAATGTCTTCTGCCATGAATAAACATAAAACATTTATTCCAATACATCACTTACCCCAAGCATACCAAAAGCTCGCTCCAGTAAATTGGGCACTCCAGGGAAGATGTAGACATTCTTTACGGAGACGAGCGGATATTTTGACTTTTCCTTCGTGACTGGATCAATTCCAAACGTGAGTGTGGCTGTCTGAGGGATCTAAACAAATACGTTTAGTTTTAGTAGAGGTTTTACAGCCCTCACAACTGCATAAGGTCATATGAGCGCCAAAGGGTGGATGTCAACAGAAAAGTCCAAACGGGGAATCAGGCTTACTCTGCTCACCTCTCTAGCCTCAACAGCACAAAGTCTTCTTCGACTATTAAACAAATTTTTTTAAAAGACGCATGAAGTGAACTTTGAAGTAAATGAGCTCCACAAAATGACTCCGAGGCGTAAAGATGACTATTTTATATTCCCCACTCTTGCAAACGTGTTGCTGTGTTGAGTTCCCACGTCATATTAGAAAGACGAAATCAAGATGACGATGCTTTAGCTTACTTAACTATTTAGTAGTCTGCAGTGTGAAACTGATATATAAGATGATTTTTTAAGATAAAACTAATGCGTGTTCAGTGGGAAAGTGATGCAATTATGTTTAGATAAGAGTGACGGTTTTTCTCAATGAAACTGATAGGATGATGTTAAGATAACAGTGACAGGTCTTCTGTGTGTAACTGATACGAGCATGTTTGAGGTCAAACAGATGGGGGGGGGGAGTTTTTTGTGTTCACTTGACATCAATTTAACCCTATCCGTACGCCCTGGTGTCATTTTGTACCCCCGGGGTTGTATTCTTCACATTTTAGAATACTTCTAGTACGAAAATCTCTTTAAAACTTTCAGTATTTCTCAAAAAATCATTTTGACAGACTGCTATGCCAAGCGTACGGATTGGATTAACGAATAAATTTCCTCTTTGGAAAGTGGTGGCACAGAGTACCCCACGTCGTATGGATACGATAGTAAAACACGACGTGCGGATAGGGTTGAGCAGAATCAAATGTAGTGGAGTGTCAAACGAGAGCAGATGCACTACAGAAATATGCAATGTCTGTATGTGGTCTACTTTGTAGTCACTAGTGCCTGTGACTGTTGGTTGATATCGCCAGAGACTCTGAGTCTGATATCACTCAAGCACTTTGATAGCAGTAATGCAGTTTTACAGCAGTTGATAGCAGTCAAGCATCTTGACAACAGCCCAGCAGCTGAAAGAAGACAAGCACTTTGACAGCAGTCAGGCGGTTTGATAGCATGGAAATATATGCTATGTTTGTATGTGGTCTGCTTTGTATTGCCAGCGGCAGTTAATTGAAAGCTGTCAAGCACGTTGATAGCAGTCAGGCAGTTAGATAGCAGTCACGCAGTTTGATAGTAGTCAGGCAGTTTGACAGCAAGGCTTCAAACTGTTCAAAACAATGCTGCACGTTTAGTTTCACAGCAAAGAAAGACTTCGCTATACCTCTTTAGAAGATGCTTCCCTGGCTTCCTGTTGAGAAAAAAATTATGTACAAGTTGGCTACACTATGTCAGAAATGCTTGGTAGACAATTTGAATGCACCATCATTTTTATCAAATCTATTGAAATTGTACATTCAAGCTCGCAGTAAAACCCACACAGAAATGTGTCTTCTTTAAAGTTTTAGTAGAGGTTTTACGGCGCTCGCAACTGCACAAGGTCGTATGAGCACCAGAATGTGTCTTTGAATTGACCTAAATGATGTAAAGCCAAAGAAACACAAAACAAACATGGATGCAAACTGCTAAACCGGCAAGGAAACGTCAAGTTTTTTCGATTTCATTATTTTAGTAAGTGCCTAGTTTCACTGATGCTACACATCTGCAAAGCGCTCTGAGCCTGTGTTCTGTTAATTGGGGTTGAGCAGAAAAGAAATGTCATACATTATTAGTTATTACTACAGTTACATTACTACTACAGGTGTCTTCAGAGGAAGTGGCAGAACCAGCATGGTACAGGGGACGGAAAGACCGGTTATTAACCAAATGAACACCGGAACAATCAGCAGATGGACTCTGAGGTGGATATTGGAGCGGGGAGCAGAGCATGTTTGCAATGCCCGGAGTACTATGATGTTGTTCCCAGGATCAAGCATTACTGCAGTGGTCAGATTGTTTGATAGAAGTCAGGTAGTTTAAATGCAGTCGATAGCAATCAAGCAGTTTGATAGCACTGAGCCATCAACATGAGTTTCCTGCGCACTTATACAGAGCTGCTTGTTTGTAAGGGTAAAGAGAAGCACAATAATGGTCATTTGGTTCAAGGGAAAAGTAAGACAGACAAACAGAATCAACAGGGGGAAATAAAAGAAGTAGGACCTACCAGTTGTGCCCTCCAGCAACACATTCATTGAGCTGTGAGCAAGAATAAAGTCTTACCAAAGTATCAATTTGCTGACAAATAAACAACAGTCACAATCTCACAGCTTTGTAAAACTGGATTTTTGTACCCAAGTCTTGTATCTGAGCCAGATTTTTAAAAAAAAAGTTTTTTAAAAGACCGCTTGGAAAGCAAAGATTTCAAATGTTATAAAAAAAAGGTGTCAAATTACTGTGGCCTTAGCAAACCAAGCTTCTCCTCCTAATCCTGACAGACGCATAATAAGCTTACACAGTTTAATACAAAGTAAAGAAACAACCTATTATTAAGGTCCCCTTCTTCTGTAAAACAGCAGAAATCTGAGGGGCATGAGCTCAAAAGCTGTAGGGATTACACAACAAGAACATCAATAACAGCAACAGCAACAGCAGCAGCAACAGCAGCAGCAGTAGCAATAACTCAAAGTCAAAAGTGGAAATCCTGTTTGGATCTCTAAAAGGATTCCCACTTTTGTCTTTAAAAATTCTTTGGTTGATGTTGTTGTTGTTACTGTAGTTGTTGTTGTTGTTATTGTAGTTGTTGTTATTGTTCTTGTCATATTACTCCTGCAGCCCCTTGTACTAAATTTAGAGTTTATCAAATACAAAAAGGACAAGTAATCCATACCTGGGCCATTTTCATCTCTGGTGACTTCGGATCTGTCGTGCGGAACCACGCCGCTATCAATTTCACCAGCTCCGGATGAGGTTCTGTCTTCAAGCCAAATGCTTTGGCCACTCCTGGGGAAATTGGAATTATGTAAGAAAAGTTTAGAAGTCCATTTTTTAACATAACTCAACAGATATGGTGTTTGCCTCTTAACTCGGAGGTCCAAAGTTCGATCCCTGCCAGCGTTGAGTTATTTCTTCTCAAGTTTTCTCCACCCCCCC